AGTAATAACATATTTTCATTTAGGGGAGTGGCTTTTTTTATATTAATGACTTATAAGGGGAAAACAAATCCAAATGAAAATGGTTGTTAGCAGGACTTGGACTTTGAATAGTCTTCTGATTAGTGTTTTTGGTTACACTGATTCTCACTAGGTCCTCTTATGACCATTCGCAGATAATTGCATAACAAATAGTCCAGATTGGTGGGCTCTCTAAAGCCTTAAATGTAGTTTAATTTTCTCTATTATTTTTACAGCAAAATTGACTTATGTAAAAGTAATAATACTTATAGCTATTTTATCTAGTCATTATTATTCACCTAACACTTTCCATTCTTATTAAATAGTCAAAACAATACTATGAGGCAAATATAGATCATTTGCATTGGTTTTACAGTTAGAAAGCTGAGGGTAAAAGAAGTGAAATAATTTGCTAAGGCAACTGTGTTAATGACAGAGTTTATATTTAAACAACAATTTAGGAATTCTGAACATTAATCTTTAACTCAAGTTCTCTGCAGGTTAGGACTCATGGCTGATTTTTTGTGTGGTACCTTTATGCATCTGTGTTAACTGTCTTAGCTTATAGCCCAGTGTTGGCGAACCTTTTGAGCTGGGCGTGCCAGCATTTTGAAAAACCCTAACTTAACTCTGGTGCCGTGTCACATATAGATATTTTTTGATATTTGCAACCATAGTAAAACAAGATTTATATTTTTGATATTTATGTTATATATTTAAATGCCATTTAACAAAGAAAAATCAACCAAAAATATGAGTTCGCATGTCACCTCTGACACATGTGTCATAGCTTCGCCATCACGGTTACAGCCTCTTGTTAATAATTAGAATAGTATCTAATGACCACTATAGTCTTCAAGATTCCACTTTATATTTTCATGATCCCTGATTGCAAAACTTGGTCTCTTAGCATGCAAACAGAAATGAAAAAAAGCACATATGGTTTAGTGCCAGCTCTTATTTGAATATAAATTAAAATAATAATAAAAAAATTTTTTTAAAAAGAAAAAATATTAAATAGTGTAGACAATACCTAGAAATGAGGGGATTGTCTCCAAATTGAATCTTTAATACTTACCTTCTCTACATCTCCCAGCCCCTCAGTGTCAAGCAGAACTAGGGTGTGGTTTGGCTTCTTAGGGTGAGGCACACACCACATCCAGATGCCTTTGGTGTGAGACTGAACCGTGGAGCCCAGAGAGAAGCCTCAGGGGGAGAGGAGAAGATAGATGGAGTGGAGTTTTAATAGCAGATATGTCTTAAAGATAAAAGTTAACATAATCAAGGTAAGAAGAGAGAAAACAAAACTACAACCAGTTGCTTGGCTGGCACTGACTCAGTGGTTGAGCGTTGACCTATAAACCAGGCGGTCATGGTTTGATTGCTGGTCAAGGCATATGCCCTGGTTGTGGGCTCCATCCCCAGTATGGGGTGTGCAGGAGGCAGCTGATCAATGATTCTCTCTCATCATTGATGTTTCTATCTCTCTCTCTCCCTCTCTCTTTCTCCCTGAAATCAATAAAAACATATTTAAAAAACAACTAGAACCATTATTATTTTACAGAGAAACAGAGAAATTCAAATATTCAATACACAAATACATTCAACACCTTTTTATTATAAAAACAATTAACAAATTAGGACAAGAAAACTAATGCAACATAATAAAGGCCATATATATTAAAAGCCTTCAGTGAACATCTCACTCAATGGAAAGCTTTCCTTCTACAACAATTAACCGAAATAGTTCAAAGACCTATATGTAAGAGCTAAAACTATGAAACTCCTAGAAGAAAACGTAGGGGGAAAGCTTCATAATATTGAATTTGGAATGATTTCTTGGATATGATACCAAAGAATAAACAACAATAGAAAAATAGATGAGTTGGACTTCAAAATTAAAGCTTTTGTGGATCAAAGGCTACTATCAATAGAGTTTAACAGGTATCCTATGTAATGGAGGAAAATATTTCTTAGTTAAGGGATGGATATCCAGAATATATAAAGAAGTCCTACAATGCAACCCCAGGAAACAAACAACCCAATTAAAAGATGAGCAAAGGACTTACTTGAACATACATTTCCTTAAAGAAAATATACAAATAACCAGTGAACACATAAAAAGATGATTAACATCACTAGTCATTAGGGAAATACAAATCAAAACTAAAATGAGATACTATTTCACACCCATTAAGATGATCACTCCAAAAAAAAAAAAAAAAGTAAGAGGCAGTGAGAATGTGAAAAAATTAAAATCCTGTGCATTTCTGGGAGAAATGTAAAATGCTACAGTTGCTATGGAAAATGATATGGCAATTCTTTAAAAAATTAAATATAAAATTCTAGGAAAGGAATATAAATCTATGCTTTTAAAAGGGAAATTAAGGCAAAGTGGGAAGAGACAGTGAGTTGACTCTTTCAGATTACAGTAAAGATAAGAGTATAACTATAGATTAAAAGTTAGCTTTCAATATTCCTCTACATCTCTAACTTGCTCTTCCTGTAACACCATACTCCATGTTGGGAGTGTGGGTAGACAGAGGGATCTGGCAGAGCTTAGCTGGTGCCCCTCACCTTTTTGCTGCCCAGCCAGCTTGTTCATCAGGTAGGATTTGCCTGTGCGGTAGAGACCCACAATGGCCACCACCACAACAGGCTGTGTAATGGCAGACAGGATCTTCAAAGCTTCTGGATTAACCACTAGTTGCGTGTTAGTGTTCTCAATGAGGCACACCGGGCCTGGCATCTGGATGTCTGAGGCCATGTCCAGGGTGTCACCTTATCTGCAAGTGAGGAGATGGGATGGATTAGAATTTCCATTCTAAGCAAATCAAGAACTTTCACCAGGTTATTTTGATCTAGAAGGTAGAGTCATAAAATTCCCCAACATGGCCAAAAGTTCTGTGTCAACAGTGAGATGGATGAGGGCAAGATTTGTATACTTTTAGAAAGTTACAGAAGTTCAATTGAAATAGTTCATTAAAAAAAGAGTGGCAAAGTGGTTGAGCATTAGCCCATGAACCAGGAGGTTATGGTTCAATTCTCGGTCAGGGCAAATGCTGAAGTTGCAGGCTTGTTCCCCAGGGGGATCCATGCAGGATGCAGCTGATCAATGATTCTCTCTCCTCATTGATGTTTCTGTCAGGGCACATGCCCGGGTTGTGGGCTCCATCCTCAGTGTGGGGCGTGCAGGAGGCGGCCGATCCATGATTCTCTCTCATCATGGATGTTTCTCTCTCTCTCCCTCTCCCTTCCTCTCTAAAATCAATAAAAATACATTTAAAAAAATTGGTATGACAAGGATATCAAAATTTAACCACTTTCATGAACAAAATCTTTAATTTACCATAGAAAACTTTCTTTTTAGATTATCATTAAAATTTTTGACGAGAGCCCAGCTGGTGTGGCTCAGTAGTTGAGCATCAGCCCATGAACCAGGAAGTCACAGCTCAATTCCTGGTCAGGGCACATGCTCTGGATATGGGCTTGATTCCCAGTAGGGGGCACACAGGAGGCAGCTGATCAATGTTTCTCTCTCATCACTGACGTTTTCATATCTCTCTCTCTTTCTCTATCTCTCTCCGTGGAGGCATCCGATTGATGTTTCTCTCTCATCGATGTTTCTATCTCTATCTCTCCTGTCATCTCTCTAAAATCAATAAAAATACGTTTTTTTAAAAATTTTAAACTAGACAGTAAATGTAAAATAGAATAGGATTTGGAGGGTAGTTTACATCCTGGCTATATGTAAAAATTTCAATTTTTATTCATTAATTCTAGTATGAATAAAGACTTTTGTGAATATATGTTTCATCATTTGATGTATGCTTTTTGGACAGTTTTCACAGATTTGTTGTTGTTGTCAATCTTCACCCAAGGATTTTTTTCCATTATTTGTTAAAGAGAGTGGAAGGGAGGGGGAGAGACAGACAGAGAGAGAAACATCGAAGTGAGAGAGACACATTGATTGGTTGCCTCCAGCATATGCCCTCACCAAAACCTTTCAGTCTGTGAACTAACTTTCTAACCACTGAGCAAACTTGGTAGGGCATTTTTTCACAGGTTTGAAATATG